AGACTGAGAGTCCTGCGTCATTTGTTGACAGGCAGCTCAGACGGTGGAAGCTGGAGACGGAGGAGGGTCCTGAGGGGACGCCGATAATGACTTCTCTGTTCCGAACATCCCTGATTTCTGCTCTCCCGACTCCTGTGCGAGACAAACTGGAGGATGTTGTGGGACTGGACTCAATGCCACATGTGCAGTTCAGAGACCATGTAGTCCACGCAGTGGACCGCTATCGGAAAGACAATAACAAAATGATTGAGCAAGAAAAGTGCGCTCAGAGAAAACTCACGCAGTTGCACATAAATGATCTCCAGCACAAGGCGAAGACCCAGGCGGCAGTGGAGAAAAGTGACAGCAAGAGTGACAGTCAAACCCAAGCATTGCAGACAGCTGTGGCCCCGCCTCAAACTCCATCTCAACCGGTTATCAATGTCTACCCAAACCAGTATGGTAGACAGCAGCCCGGACCACAGAGACGATTTCCAAATCGTTTCCCCAATCGCTACCCAACCCGACAAGGCTGGGTGCAGCAGAACCGACCCCCACTTCCAGGTTCATGTTGGGGGTGTGGCCAGATGGGTCACCTGTATCGAGACTGTCCGAATCCAATTCCAAACCCTGAATGGTCTGGGCGTGGTCGTGGAACACGACCAAACCGGGGAAGAGGAGGTCCAGTTAATCCATGGGCAGCACAACAAGGATTCTAGGGATGCCCGGAGGGCCCTGGGGGGGAGGAGCAACTACCAATTTTAATAGCTAACGCCAATAAAGAACCAGTGATCAATGTTAAAATAGAAGGCAAATCGGTCCCAATGTTAGTAGATACTGGGGCAACCTACTCATGCATAAAATCAAATTATGCAACTCATCTCCCCATGTCTGAGAAAAGCGTAAAGACAACAGGGTTCTCGGGAACAAAACAAATAAACCCCTTAACAGCTCCAGTAAGACTAGCAGTTGATGACAGTGAAATCGTAATTCCAATTCTGATTTCAGACCAAACTCCAGTTAATCTACTAGGAAGAGATGCATTGTGTAAACTAAAAACAAAAATCTGGTGCACACCAGAAGGAATTTATGTAGATAGCTCTGGAATAAACTTTCAAATGACTGCTCAGACAGAATACGCTAAGGTCTACTGGCTTGGTGACATTAACAAGCCAGTCTCAGAGATGTTTCAACAGTGGGAAAAATTTATTGAAGCTCAAATTCCAGAAGCTACTGCACCGTTCAGTGACTATCACTGCACAATGACTTATGATCCATCATGCAGTAGAATGTTTGAAGAAAAATGGGACAAAGAAACAAAAGACTTGCACGTTAGGCTAGTGTCACAATACATCGTGATAGGACAGCAAGGTGCAGGTGTGAATGTGGAAGAAAACCCATTTATTGAAAAATGGCACACTGTGCCAGAATCAGCACCACATTTTGGTAAAAGCAGGAATTAGTGCAATAGTAGTACTAATTCTGATTTCTCTATTGGCATGTTGCATCCTACCTGTTGTGAGGAGACTGTGGGAGCGAACTCTGGCTGCCCAAATGAACCTTGCTGCGTCGTCTCAATATGTGCAAATGGAAATGGCCGCAATGGACTCAGCACAACACCCAATGTGCCTGAAGAATGGGACGGCTGATGGGACAACGGCGGAGTAATCTTTGCGTCTCATCATAGATGTTGCTGTTGTGGTTACATGCACTCGACTAAGGAATCGGCCTCAAAGTCCTCTTCCAGCGGCAAGACCCCTGCAGCAGTCATCAATAAAACTGAACTTGACTCTTATGTTTTCTTCACTCCATTTCTTTTTCAGTTCTGCAGCTGGGACTCTGACTCCGTTCTCTATTTCAGTTGAGCAGTTGTGTTGTTACGTTGAGTATATTCATTACACCTCCTGTTGTGTTTAACTTTTATAGGTTTAGTCGCAGCGACATCATCTAGTCGTTCATTCGTATCCACGTCAATCATTTATTTCACATGAGTTTGTATTTTTGATTGCATATTCACGTACAGTTACTGGTTGCAATATTGCTAAGGGTAATTAATGCTCGATCATGCTTATGATTTTTGTTCTCTGTTGGAAGGTTTCATCAGTTTGTTTTCTCTTACGTGCGTTCTTTTGTTAATTCACTGTTACCTAATGTCTGCCATATACTTAGGCTAGGCTTGCATGCTCACTCTGTGCTTTATGTGACCGTCCTGTTTGGGGCCAGGAGGTCAAGGGGGAATTTTTCCTGTTAAGAACAGCGGACAGGTTTTCGCCCCCTTACAGTTTGCGCATGCATTTTGATGTGACTGAGCTGGTTAAAGACGTCACATTCCATATTGTGTTTTGAAGCTGATACTTCCTTTGTGTACTCATCCAAGTGTTGGTTTGCAGTTACTTCGTCGTTACATATATGCCTATATAGTTTGGTTGAAGTTTGTAGTGTATTTGTCATTTTGCCATTCGACGCCCATTTACTGGTTTATGTTAACGTTCACTTATGTGTTAAGTTATATGTTATGTAGCCAGCTTATTAATGGGGGTGGACACCCCCATGGGGGGGATCTGTAGGAGCTAAAAGCAGTGTTTTGTGTACGTGCGTGTTGACATGTTGCTTATCAATGCCAGCCGGTTATCAGGCAGCCCAGCTGCTGAGTACATGCTCCAAAAACATGTTGATCTGCCCAGCTTATGTAAGTTTCAACAACTTTTGACCATATTAGGATGTGGAAGTAGCACCCCATCATTTCTCAGAATCAAAAGGGAGGTGGGGGTTGAATAGTATAACTGATGCTGCGTGGTGTAGGAGAGTGGGCTTTTGCAGAAGGATCTCCAGCCGAGGTGTTTAGATCGAAGCTGGACGCTGTCCCCTGTGAAGTGTTGGTGATGTATGGATGAGTTGTGTAAATAAATGCCCCCCGCTGAGTTTGGACAAAACCTGTCTCTTTCTTGTTTTTGATAAGGAAAAAGAACCACACTTCTCGCAGCACCCTGTGCTATTTTTAGACTACGGGATTCTTGTGTGTAAAAGTGGGTGGAGTCAGGTCCCCAGGCTGAAACTCCAGTCATTCTCACTAGATCTGTCCGAGAGGAAGGATCTCCTGAAGACCCTAACCAGAAGCCTTAAGGTACGTCCAAAACACCGAAAAATATCCTTTCTAAAGTCACAAATTGCTTAAAACTGCATGTTACACAGAAAAACAGAGAGAGCGAGAGAGTCCAGCTGACTTCACGGCCCATAATCAGACAAAATACTTCCTTTATAACCACAACCATACAACTTTTTGTATTTTAAAGGATTTTCTTGTCATCACACTAACTATAAATTCTTTTTCTATTGTTTCCACAGTCTCTTGAACTAAATAACCGTCTAGCAAAAACATGGACCGCACCCTGTTTCTCAAGCAGCTGCTCCCTCTATTAAAACCTGAGTCATTCAGGAGAATATCCAGCGAAAGCAGCATTTACTTCTCATGCAAGAAGACACACATCCACTCACTCACAAGGCACAGACGACATTCTTTCTGTTTGTCACAGTCTTTTTTTTTTTTTTTAAAGTAAGTCAGTCCGTCACTTATTTATTCTCTTTATATATTTATATAATATTTTAAGCACAGAAATTATGTAACACTACACTGATTATTCTCAGAATTTAATGCTTACTATGCTTTTAAGCAGGACTTATGTAACATTAGAGCAAATCCAATTGCAATTTTTTGAGAGTGCTCCGAGAAACAGTTTATATATTTATTTTCTGCAGATCTGTTTTGATTTTACTGTTTAGCAGCTATCTGACTTTATGTATATGTATATCTATATATTTCTAAATTAAAGTTGTCATTTACAACCTTACTTGCGTTTCTTGTTGGTTTTTTCCCTTTTTTCATCTCCAGGCCACTTAACCCCCAGATCGGGGTCACTCACATGCTGCCCCGCACACAAATGATTATCACGCTTGTACACTACATATGTATATCCCTTACCCAACATTTAAATTTTCTAACGTTAAAGTCATTAGAGCACAAAAAAATGCACTTAGAAAGCTTCCTTTAGAAATATTATATAATATTTCATAAGTCCCAATTTTTTTTACATGAATTTCATCCTTGGCTTCAGCCCTAACAAAATATAATAAAATATGTGTGTGTTTCTCAGATTTAACCCCTTCATTGCCAGGTTTATTAGCAAAACCCGAAGTTTGAAAACTGTACAAAAAATGAAAAAATCAAATCATTTTTTGTGTGTTATGTCCAGATTAACTTTTTTGTGGGTAAGTTGTCACAGCCTTGGAGTGTCACAAATAGGCATAAAAATATTTTTTGCTCACTTTGTAGTTTTTGTGTAATGTCACATTTTCTAAAATACTCACGTTAAAGTCATTAGAGCACAAAAAAATGCACTTAGAAAGCTTCCCATAGAAATATTATATAATATTTCATAAGTCCCAATTTTTTTACATGAATTTCATCCTTGGCTTCAGCCCTAACAAAATATAATAAAATATGTGTGTGTTTCTCAGATTTAACCCCTTCATTGCTAGGTTTATTAGCAAAACCCAAAGTTTGAAAACTGTACAAAAAATGAAAAAATCAAATCATTTTTTGTGTGTTATGTCCAGATTACCTTTTTTGTGGGTAAGTTGTCACAGCCTTGGAGTGTCACAAATAGGCATAAAAATATTTTTTGCTCACTTTGTAGTTTTTGTGTAATGTCACATTTTCTAAAATACTCACGTTAAAGTCATTAGAGCACAAAAAAATGCACTTAGAAAGCTTCCCATAGAAATATTATATAATATTTCATAAGTCCCAATTTTTTTACATGAATTTCATCCTTGGCTTCAGCCCTAACAAAATATAATAAAATATGTGTGTGTTTCTCAGATTTAACCCCTTCATTGCTAGGTTTATTAGCAAAACCCAAAGTTTGAAAACTGTACAAAAAATGAAAAATTCAAATCATTTTTTGTGTGTTATGTCCAGATGACCTTTTTTGTGGGTAAGTTGTCACAGCCTTGGAGTGTCACAAATAGGCATAAAAATATTTTTGTTCACTTTGTAGTTTTTGTGTAATGTCATATTTTCTAAAATACTCACGTTAAAGTCATTAGAGCACAAAAAAATGCACTTAGAAAGCTTCCCATAGAAATATTATATAATATTTCATAAGTCCCAATTTTTTTACATGAATTTCATCCTTGGCTTCAGCCCTAACAAAATATAATAAAATATGTGTGTGTTTCTCAGATTTAACCCCTTCATTGCTAGGTTTATTAGCAAAACCCAAAGTTTGAAAACTGTACAAAAAATGAAAAAATCAAATCATTTTTTGTGTGTTATGTCCAGATGACCTTTTTTGTGGGTAAGTTGTCACAGCCTTGGAGTGTCACAAATAGGCATAAAAATATTTTTTGCTCACTTTGTAGTTTTTGTGTAATGTCATATTTTCTAAAATACTCACGTTAAAGTCATTAGAGCACAAAAAAATGCACTTACAAAGATGACCAGTTGAACACTTTATTAAAGCACACGAACAAAGAAAAAGTGTGTGTGTGTGTGTGTGTGTGTGTGTGTGTGTGTGTGTGTGTGTGTGTGTGTGTGTGTGTGTGTGTGTGTGTGTGTGTGTGTGTGTGTGTGTGAGAGAGAGAGAGAGAGAGAGAGAGAGAGAGAGAGAAAGAGAGAGAAACACAGAGGGGAGTGAGCTAACAGCTGCAGGCTGAGCACACAACTGTTGAGTGCTCCTTGCACACAGCCTGTCCACATGCATGGCAAAAGCGTGCATGCACGCTCCTCTTCCCTCTGCAAAGGTGGCATCTTTTCTTTGTCTGCTCCTGGGCTGGACCTGGCTCCACTTGCTGCTGCACCTCCAACAGAGCTGCAGCGCTGCTGGACCGCGGCAAGCGAGTGCGCCTCGCCTGGGCTGGTCTCACCATGGAGGTCCCAAGCTCCTGCAAGAACAGCCTTCGACGGATGCTCCACTTCTGTTGGTTCCAGGCCGGTTCCACAGACAGCCACAGGACCAGGGCATTGTAGGCGCTCACATCTAACATGTTGCAGAAGAGCGACATGGGCCAACGTCTGGTCTTGCGGCGGCAGCTGTATGTTGCAACGAGCTGGAATAAAAATAAATGAATAAATAAATTACATATGCAATTAGGTAGGTGAATTATAATAAAACAAAATAAAATAAATAAATTACCTTGTCCAAGTTGTCAACTGCCCCTTTGCAGCGGTTGTAATCGATGATTACGGTCGGCTTCTGCTGCGGTCCCTCCTGGATCTGAACCTGATGGTGTTTGGTGCTGAGGAGCAGAACGTTCCGCCGGCGCTTTGGAATGTAGCTCACCGCGGTGGCGGTGGAGGTGAAGCCGAACAGGGAGGACAGAACCGCTCTGCTTTTCATCTGGAGCAGCTGTGGGGGCAACTCTGGCTTGTTGCGCCTAACTGTTCCCACAAGACAGATTTTTTTTTTTAGCAGCTCCTCTCCAAGAACCAGCGAGGTGAAAAAATTGTCCGTGGTGACAGTGCGGCCGCTCAGACCCTCCGTGAGTTCCAGCACCACCCGCTTCCCTTGCCCCCTTTCTGCCGGGGCGTCTCGAGTCGTCTTGCACAGATAGGGAATAATCCCCCAGGCATAAGAAGTGGCCACATCGCACACCACCCACAGCTTGATGCCATATTTTGCCGGTTTTGAGGGCATGCACTGCTTGAAGTTGCAGCGACCTCTGAATCCGACGAGCTGTTCATCAACGCAGACATCTTCACCGGGGTTGTAGGCGAGAGGGAGCCGGGCCGCCCAGAGGTCCCACACTTCCCGCAGGGGAGCGAGCTTGTCCTGCTGCACCAACCGGCGGGCTGCCCTGGTCAAGCGGTCATCAAAGCGCAATGTTGCAGTCAGCATGTGGAACCTTCCCAAACTCATCGTGGCTCTGAATATCGGCCTCCCCGTTTCCTCCCCCCAGAGGCTGGCAGATGATTCCCCACGGGAACGGTGCACACCAGCGAGGATGAGCAACCCAAACAATGCCCGGAGTTCCACGCGGTCAACGTCTGTCCAATCGTCATATTTTCTTCTTCCCTCTATATTGGTGTATTTTATTATTACATCTAGGATTGTTGTAGTTAAAAAAAAATCGAAGCTGTCCTCAATAGTTTGGATGTAGCTGACAGCGAGGCGGGTGATCCCACAATGGCGGACGTCTGGAGCCCGAAAGGGGATCCTGGTGTCGGGTGTCGGGGACCAGGCGATCCCGCTCTTTGATTGCCACAAAGGATGGTCCCATCTCTCCTCTGCAGCAACCACCTCCTCATCTGAACCTTCTTCCATTTCTTCCCCTGAATCAGGCCCTGGGGTAAAGGCCTGATCTTCAGCCTCTTCATCCGAACAAGAGCTGTCATCCGTGGATGAGGATGAGGATGAGGCTGACTCTCCCTCTTCCTCAAGCTGCTGAAACACCTCCAGGGCTTCATTCACATTGAATCTTCTTCTCATGGTTGCGGTTCAAAGAAATGAATCCTGATCTGAGTCTCATATATGTACTTTTAGTCAATTGGTGCACCTGTGTAAGCTGCCCCTACTGAATGTAAACAAAATTCGATTCTGCAGGAATTTGTTTTGAAAAACAAATGTATGCCTTTGAAGTTTTTCAGCCTTCATCTTAGCTTTCATCCATGCAAATGCTTTGTACTTATTGAAATAACATTTTGCAAAAGTAAAATTGTGAATGAGTATCTGAAATTTAGCAGAAAATCCTTTGATTTTTGATATATAGCATGCCTTTGATGAATATTCATGATGTCAACAGAGTGTGAGAACCTGTGCCCCCCCCCCCTACACTCCCATGGTCCACACCTGCTCAACCACTCCAGATAATGATCACAGATCTGTCCTTTGAAGATCTGTAAAGTGCTTTGATACCTACATACACGCATGCCTGAACAATCACACACAAAGGAACACATGTCAAAATGCTATTTTGCAGAATAAGCTAATTTTGTACATTCAGTCAGGCTTATTTTTTGAAAGAACACTGAAAAAGCACAATTACCAAAAATTCAGAACACACACATGCAAACTATTGTATGGCATCTCTAAATAACACACAAACCATTTTTTTGCAAAATATGTATTATAATGGGCAGTCAGAGGTAAAGAAATACAGCTAAATCATTCAGTTTAAATGCTGGGTCAGCCATTGCCCTGCTATATATGGAGAAAGTATGCCATGTAGTGAAAAACAGTAAAAACTGCTTCTTACATTTGTGATGAGACTGTAAACACGGGCACAATCATAATTTTTTAAAATTATGCCAATATTTATGCTAATTAAAAATATATGATTTACATGAAAGTCAATGGCACAAAAAAATGCTTCAATGTGCTTAACTGTACAAAATGATTTCCACATTTTAATAAAGTAGGTTGAATATTTTTTCAAACTTTTTTTTGTAATTCCTTTCCAAAATACACATCCTCCATAAAAATTAGATAAATTGCATTAACATAGCCAAAGTTATTCACAAAAATACACGTGTCAGCACAAAAAAATGCTCTAATGTGAGGTAAGGGATATATATATGCACATATATATATATATATATATACATATACACATACATACACACATGTTACTTGAAAAACCTTTTATTTATGAACTTATGGTGTTCTGTTCAAAGACTGATCAGAACAGGGTTGCAGAATTTGAATTTTGCGTAGCTTCAAACATTAATTTTAGCACTGCAGTGTAATTTACGTATACGAGTTGCAACTTTTTAAAGCTCTTATTTATCTTATTTATTTATTTTCTGGTACCGCATCAGGCCTTCACACACACATCATCCAGAGCTGTCCACACACACACGGAGCTCCCAAAACTCGGCTTTGCATTCTGCACTCTCCTAGTGCTGCACTTTCAATCCAGAGCCGTAAGCAGCCTCTTGCTGCGCCTCACACACGCACAGGCTGAACTCAGCTTACACACACAGTGAAGCTTCTCTACAGCTGTGCTTTTTTTTTTACTTTTATCAGTTACTTGGTACCTTTAAAGGTCCAAAAATTTTGTTAGAATTTTAGGAGTTCTCTTTTTACCTCCTAGGGCCTCAAACCCAACTTTTCTTGTTTCATAAAAGGTCCCAGACCTTGTAGTAGAATTTTAGGAGTTCTCTTTACCTCCTAGGGCCTCAAACCCCTTATTATAACCTAGAACAGGTCCCTGACCTGTGGAATTTTAGGGTTCCCACCCCCTGAAGGACTCCAACCTGGCGTAATATAACCTCGTTATATTTCTATTCACTTGTCAGTAAATAGTTTGGTCCGCCACGACCTGGAAAATGGAATTTAGGGCTTTTCTAATAACCCTGGGCCTCCAACCCCTATGGAATTTAGGGCTTTTTAAATAACCCTGGGCCTACAACCCCTTTTTCTGTACTATTTCCTTATCTCATTTATCATTAAACCATTTGCAAAAAGTCTCTTATTATTTCTGCACTTTGCCTCCACGTTCTTCTCCAACGATGATTTTAGGACCACAGCTACTAAGATTCCGGACACAAAGGCTTTGGATAAATCCAATGAGCAGTTTTTAGAAAGAAGGTTCTGCTCACCTTGTTTTCCACCGCGGTGTTTTGTGCCAAGATCGTTCACTGGGTCGGTTGGTCAAATCGTCCTCCAAAAACTCCTTTTTCTTCAAAAAGAAAAAATGCTGTTTGTGACGCCAAATTTTTTGGTCTTTATTTTCTAGACCATACAGGTTCGGAGCAGATGGAGAGAGAAACACCTTTCGTTGGTAGAATGTGGAGTCAAAATGATCAGAAGACCAGTCTCTTCTTCACCGCTGCAGAGGGAGAACACTGCAGCTCCAGCTAAACCCCGCGGTTAGCTCATGTCTGCTGCTCCCAAGTGTTCTGAGCTCTCTCTGCTCAGCAGCTATTTTTATTGACCAATTATGGAATGCACACACACGTAATTCTGCCATCTGCACATGCAGACGCACGTCAGCTAGTAGCCTTGTTAATGAAAGACCAATTCATCCCAAGAACATGCAACCTTGAGATGACCAGGACACATCCTGCAACATCCTTTGCTAACAAAGACAGTTGTTCTTGTATTGAGGAACTGAAGGAAGGAGCACTTTCACTCCCTTTTCTGTGCAGGGGAAAACATGCAGCTGTTCAGCTTGAGCAGAAAAGGCACAGAGAGGTTTTCGATATTATAACAAGATTCCATGAAAAGGCATATAATAATGTATTTATGATAATATATAAGGAGCATAAGTGAGAGATACATATTTGTTCATATAAAAGAGCTTATAATAATATATGAAAGAGCTTGTATGAGAGATAACTATTTTCAGACTCAATGATTTCTGATCCATTTGAAACTGGATTTTTCCTTCATAGTGTGTCTCAATCCTTGATAAAAGCTGGTTTATTATTCATTTGGGTAGGAATGGGCCATATGGCCTAAGATTTACAGTAGATCACAATATATCCCTTTTCTTCTATTTATTTATAAAATTACAGGTTTCACATTCTCACACACCAGATGACTTTCAGCAGAACAAATACTTGTAAAAATTATTGAACATTTAATGTTCAAAACTTTATTAAAAATAAACCTTTCAAGTAGATTTTATGCTGTTCTGATTCATTCTCCAAACAAAGCAACAGAAAAATCCTCGTGAAACGAATAAAGATGAAGATATTAAAATAAAATTCAAGCTATGTTTGATGAAAACACAAAAGTATAGTTTCGAATGAAGTGAAAAATGTAAAAACAGAAATAATATTTCTTCCTACTTTCATTTCTGATTCATTTATAATTTTCATGGTTTTTATTTTCTCATAGTTAAATGTTGCTCCAGTAGTGGTTAACTGAATGTAAAATGATGCGGTGCTTGTTTTTGTCGACATTAATAAATAAGTTGGAGGTTTATTCTTTCTTTTGGCTTCTGGTTGAGCGTTGCTCTGATCAGCAGGTCTAGTTATGCGCACCAGCCGCACAGAGAGAGAGGAGCTGCACAACCATCAGCGTTACTAATGGCAGAAACAGCTGCAGATGGAAATTTGTACAAACTAAATCCATGGAGATGTCCAAAAGTTTGGAAGTCAGTGTGTTTATCGTGTTTCAAAGAGCAGCATTTAAGCAAATTTGCAATAACGCAGACACAACTTTATTGTCACCAGAATTGTTTACTGAGGATGTTTCTCTGTTCAACATCAGCTCCTGGAACCCAAATTAGATCCGTATCACCAAATGTCACCAATTCAAGAGCATCTGTGTACACGTTGCAGCAGCCTCTGGTCCAAAACTGACGCTTCTTGAAAAAAATTCATGCACAGTCATGGTTTTGCTGAATTGATAACTGATCATATGATATCAACCAAATATTACTGTACATTACTTTATTTGCATAATCATCAAGCATTACACATTCCAGCCCAATGGTTTTTTTTTTTTAACCAGGGCACAGCAAGTGCTGTCATCATCTGGGTAATTACATATTCATTTTTCCACATACCCCCTGTAATGCTCTCATGGACCTCTAGGGGTACGCTGACCCCTGTTTACCGTAAGGGACCGAACCAGCGCTAATGTGTAAGCGCCAATGGATTCTGTGCCCCTCCTCTCTCCCTCCAGACTCTGGGACAGTGCCATGGGAACATATTTTCCTAAGGGGGTGCTGTGATCAGCCACGTGCAAAAAAAAAAAAAAAAAAACGGACACATGTTTAACATGTTTATATATATTTATGTGTAACAGTAGTAAGCCTTAATTATTCTTGGTTCATTCGTCCACATAACAGCTGCTTATTACCATCAACACTGGGAAAACCCCACAAATAACAAGTAAAAACTTCCAGAATCTGAACCGCGTGTTGCAAGGGAACTGATCCTCTGCAGCTCTTCAGACAACAGATCGGACACCTGAGTGTTTATCTACAGAAACAGAACAACACTCCAAGAACATCTCCTTAAATGGAATGGAAACTAAAAACAAAATGCAGCAATCCCACCCATTCTTAGGTGTGTTCTTGCTGTGCGTTATTTCTAATTCCATGTTGTCGTTCTTTTTTAAAACACAGAAACGGTTTTGTTACCTGTTATTGACGCTACAGTTTCGCAGATGGCTGCCGGCTTCTTCAGGCTGACACTGATGGTGGCGCGTCACTTCCTTCTCCGTTTATCTGCGGGCAGCAGAGGACGTTGTTGCCCTCTACTGCCCGCTCTCCCCTCTCCGACAATGCAGTCCCATGCGTGGTCCAGCAGATAAACGGAGAAGGAAGTGACGCGCCACTTTGGAATTAGAAATAACGCACAGCAAGAACACACCTAAGATGTTCAAAGAGAAATACGGACACCAAGGAACAAAGGACTTCCGCCGTTTGGAACGATTACAGCAGAAACGCGCACGTCTAAGAAACCACCTTCGCTTCTGTTTAAGATGCCGGGACGAAAACATCACACCCACAAGCCTACAGCTGAAAACACCGATCCGGACCAAGACAGCATAGAATGTAATAGAAAGAGCACAGAGAGCACTGCTCAAGGAGAGGATAAGGAACGTCATAACCAAACAGAGGCGTGTGGAGGACGAACTGGAAAGAGGACACCTGGACTTGAAAAGGAATTACAAACTTGATAAACAAATGGAGGAACTAATTAAAGGACACATGATGGGAAAACAGGAACAAGAGTTCACCAAAGTAAAAGAAAGACACATAGAGAAGCTAAACAAATTCATAAACAAGAAAAAGAGGGGAGAAATACAAGGCAACTCCACACCAAACTCATGGGTATGTAACATTTCACA